TTTATCTGCCACAACGCCCGTGGCTTAGCCATGTGGGCCAATTCTAATTTGACCCATTTTAGATTTGTCAATTAGTCTGCTGTTGGGCACATTCTATTTGAATATTGTTGTGCAGCCAATTTAACAGCTTTTTAAAAAAAAAAGCGGGTTGTAATATAATGGCAGGAGGGAAATAACAATAAAAGCACAGACATGTCATCAAAACTAGAATTCGGCTATGTTTCTCGGCTGTTCTGTTTCTCCCCAAGAAGTTGCTACATTTTCTGGAGGAAGCGTGGCTTGAAAAAATATATATACAAGAGTTTCTTTTCTTTTTTTCAAGGCTGGAAAATAAGCTCCGGGCAAACAAACCCACTGAAATTACCCTTCCTGATGATTTCTTGGCATCCATTTGACAAGTGTGGCAAAAGGCCTTTGTTCTGGGTCTGTTATTCCTCCAGAATAGACAGGAAGGAAGATCCCTGGGCAAACAGGGGAGCTGAAGAGGAAGCTTTAAAAATGTCTTCCTTAGCAGCAAAGGAAAGGAAAGGCATTTGCTTGTTGGTGGAAAGAAAGCCAGGAGGAAGCCCACTGGGTTTCTGGTGGAAGGGAGTTCCACAGCCTGGGAGCAGCCATACAGTGCTCTTATCTCCCGTCCTACCAGAATGAGACTTTCCCTCTGGCCTGTTAGATTCCCTTCCCTGAGTGCTCTGCAGTTCTGCATAGTTCAGACCAGACTATAAGGGAAAGGCATTTGCTTGTTGGTGGAAAGAAAGCCAGGAGGAAGCCCACTGGGTTTCTGGTGGAAGGGAGTTCCACAGCCTGGGAGCAGCCATACAGTGCTCTTATCTCCCGTCCTACCAGAATGAGACTTTCCCTCTGGCCTGTTAGATTCCCTTCCCTGAGTGCTCTGCAGTTCTGCATAGTTCAGACCAGACTATAAGGGCAACACTTGTTTCCAGCAACTGGCCTGTTTTCTCTGGGGTTTTCTGAGAGAAACAGCCTGGGAGCAGCCATACAGTGCTCTTATCTCCCGTACTAGCAGAATGAGACGTTCCCTCTGGCCTGCTAGAATTCCCTTCCCTGAGTGCTCTGGAGTTCTGCATAGTTCAGACCAGACTATAAGGGCAACACTTGTTTCCAGCAACTGGCCTCTGGGGTTTCCTGAGAGATACATGCTTGGCCCCTGTTGGCCTTCCAGTGACCAGTCACAAAACAGAGCTTGCTGGAGTGCAAGGTACAGAAGTGAGGAATAGCAGGTGTGAGGACAAACAAACAGTTTTGTCCACTTGGGTGAACACCACTTCTAAGTACGGACTAAGTTTGACAATGGAAAGAAAGAGAGAAAGAGAGAGAGAAAGAGAGAGAGAAAGAGAGAAAGAAAGAGAGAGAAAGAGAGAGAGAGAGAGAGAGAAAGAAAGAAAGAAAGAAAGAAAGAAAGAAAGAAAGAAAGAAAGAAAAGAAAGAAAGAAAGAAAGAAAGAAAGAAAGAAAGAAAGAAAGAAAGAAAGAAAGAAAGAAAGAAAGAAAGAAAGAAAGAAAACTTCCCTCCCGGGCAATACATCTGGAGACTTTCAAAGGAAACCAAATAATTTTGATCAATGAATTTTTTTAAGGAAAACCCACTTTTTCCATGTTGCCTTTGGCAAAACCCCTTTATGCCTCTATCTCCACGTCTCACTTTTCTCTGTTATTTCTAGTTCATGAGCATTTCTGTCCAGGAACCGGGCCTTATGAACTTGGCACCATGCACGCTGATGGTTAAATGCACACAGGAAGGACGTATTATTACTGTTGAATTCCCAGGGAAAGGTGAAGGGGTTTCAGTTGCACCAACAGTTCTCTGCTTTCTTTGGCACATCCCTAGTTATAAACAAAAGGTTTCGTACATGGGCTTAACATTCTTCCAGCTAGCACATTTGCTTCCTACCAGCTTTCTGTCCGTTGGTGCCAAAGGAGCATGGCGTTTACTAGCGATATGCAGCTAAACGCCTCTTTAAAAGTCCACTTCTTTATCAGAAAGCCACTGCTCTTTAAGAAATGTTTTAGAAATCCACTTCTCTGGATTTAAAAAAAAAGAAAGAAAGAAAGCCAATTCTCCTTTAAAAATACCGTATTTTTCGCACCATAAGACGCACTTTTCCCCCACAAAACAGGGGGGTGGAAAGTCTGTGCGTCTTATGGAGCGAAGAAAACAGATTATATTTTCCTGTTTTCTTCTCCTAAAAAATTGGTGCGTCTTATGGAAAGATGCGTCTTATGGAGCGAAAAATACGGTAGTTAAGAAATCCATTTCTCTGTTGAAGGCTTTCCTCCCTTTTTTTCCCCTTAATCCTTTGCTGATTAAAAACTTGGGCTTGGAATTGCTGTAACCCTAAACTCTGCCCTCGGTTTTTAGGAATGCTGGACCTATTGGATTTAGAGAGTTTTAAAATGCTTTGAAAACTCATTTGGATGGTGGCTCTTCATAGTATCGTAGGCTCAGTGTTTCTCTTTTTAAACGTTGTTCCGTGTAATGGATTTCATGGTGATTGTTGCATCGTTTTAGTTGATTCTGAGACCCCTCTGAGGAGAAAGGCACCATGGAAATAAGTAATAAGCAAACGAACAAACCAAACAGCCCATCATCCACACTTTCAAGAGGGGTGAAAAGTTGGAAAGCCATGCGTAAGAGGAAGCTAAGAGGAACCTAATATAAATGGTGGGGAAAATACTGATAAACATCAGAGCAGGTCCCTGGTCTTGAAGAAAAACGAAGTGTTTCATCTGGCAGAGAGCTGAATTTAAGACTGTGTCCAATCTGAATGCTGTTATTTTTGGCTTCATTTTTC